CTCTTCTATAGAAGAGATTCCACAAATCTACAGTGCCGTTTAGAACTGGTTCCAGATCCCTCCCCCCCCCCGTCTGCACATCATCAAGATGAAGAGCGAGAGGAGGAATTCTGGGAGTTGAAGTCCACAAGTCTTAAAGCTGTCAAGTTACAAGACCCTTGTACTCCTAACCCTTTAGAAAAAAAACCCCAGGGGTGTTCAAACTTGACAGCTTTAAGATTTGTGGACTTCAACTCCCAGAATTCCTCCTCTCGCTCTTCATCTTGATGATGTGCAGACGGGTGGGGGGAGGGAGCTGGAACCAGTTCTAAACGGCACTGTAGATTTGTGGAACCTCTTCTATAGAAGAGGTTAGAACTGGCAGGAAGGAAGGAAATTGCTATAGGTTTTTGGGACAGATTTGAATGTCAAGTTATCTAAGTGGTCAAAAATTACTGCTTGTGTCTCTCTGGTGGAACTACTAGGCATGGAGAGAATATGATGCTTTTCCTGGGGATATAGATCTGTATTCCTAAAAATACTCTTAATTATTTCACTGGGTCTCAATTACATCATCATTTCTAAAAACATTTATTCAGGTTTGCATTTCATATGCTTTATATAAAAGCAACCATTTTTAAAGGAAACATTTAAACTATTGTTATTGTTCTATGTGCCTCAGACCAATATAAATATTTTGTTTCTACAAAAGGTGGACTCAGTGAGGTTTATACTTTTCAAATAGTTATTATTAAACTACAGAAGGCAGTGTAATATTGGAGAAGATACACCTCTTATAAGTTATTGACTTTTTAAAGAAATTAAGTAAAAACATATTACAATCTATTTAGGATATCAAAAAGAATATATACGTATATATGTACATATTTTTTCTTAATCAAGCATTTTTTAAAAACTGTGCAGCAATAATCCTTTAAACATGATTTAAATAAAACAGAGAAAACGACACATTTACCATAAAACCAGTCAATTTTTCCTTTACATCTTTGACTTTGGGAAATTATCATTAAGTTATGTAATTCCTGGACATGATAGTTTTCCAGAAGAACATTCGAACAAATATTTATTGTATCCAATTTAAAGGGACTTTCTGTATTTAAGTGACTATATTGGATGTGGAATACTTTTCTCTGGCAAGGACATTCAGTGAATTGTTGACCATATAATTTATAATTATTTGATGAAATGGGAATTTTTAATTTCATACTTTCAGGATTGTCATTGGCATTTATCCTAATTTTGTTTCCTATTTGGAATAAGGATCTTTAGAATTCAGCTCTTCTTTGGACTATCTGACAAGTACTATTTGTGCATACTATTCATATGAAAAATAACAGGCCAATTTTGAGCTATTAACCAATGAAAAGGCTGTATAATGAAACAACTTCAGTTTAAAATTAGCATCTAATCCTGGGTGATCAAGGTCTCTTATTACTGCTTCAAATCAATTCTGAAGAAATATTTTTAAAATGCAGATTCAAAAAAATGAATTTTATTTTTCTCCGAATGCTTACAAACAAATTGATAAAATTAAAGCTATTATTTAATTCTAATGCAATCAGAACTTCTGATATTCTATGATGGTTAAAAGGTTCTGGAATTAGTGTAGCATTTTAGGCAAGTAAGCCAGTAACCCTTCTTTCCCTGAAGGAATTTGATAGGGATTGTTAGGGTTATTATGTAACTCCTGGAATAAGCAGCTTATCAGGTCCCAAGATAAACCAATAAACCAATGGTGGTTGCACTTTAGAATATGAAATCTGTTTCCTACATTCTAAATACAAACATTAATAAAACACTAGATTTTGCTCTGTATATACTGCATATCTTAGAGAATGTTCAGTTCTCTCTAAATTATTGGCCGTGCATCTACAAGAATGGCTCATCTATAATGCTGCACCGTTATCCACAGATTATAAGCACTAAACTGAAACCTTTCAGTTTAGATCTGAAGACAATAATGTGGTGCAAAAGAACAGTTTTTAATTGCTGTGGAGTCACTACCTGATTGGCTTGTCCAGGTCCATGAGCAGCTTCTAGAGCTTTGTAGAGTCCTTCTGACATGAGCACAAGAAAGCCTGTGACGCCATCCAATGGGTGCCCACCATGGATTTCAGGCTCTGCTATGATTGGCTTAGATTTCGCAGCACTTCAAAGAGAAACCCCAATTAGTACTATACAATGCAATGAAAAAGAATTTTTCAATACGACAAAATCAAATATAGAAATAAATGAAAGATACAAACAAGCTTTACCTTACCTCAGAAATTCAATATCACTGTAGCCATATTTGACCTTATAATCTCCAATACGCCGAGTACTTTCTTGCCCACCTATGGTTCCTACTTGCTTTATTTTTGCTGCATCTAAACCTGCCGGGGTATAAAATAAAAGCCTCATTGATTTAGGTACATGTACTAAGAGTTTACATTTGCATTCCAAGTCAGGGGACAGCAATGTCAGGTGGAAAACTGACTAGCCAATGAGGGAAGAGATCATGAACTTAAGAAGGAGAGACAGAGAACTGACTTTCAGCTTTAGTTAGTTATTGGAAAGAAAGTGCAGACTCATATTCTAGACCAGTGCTGTCAAAGTCCAGGCCCGCGGTTTGGATGCGTCACTTGCTGGCCACGCCCACGCCCCGTTTAGCGAAGGAGGGGGGAAGGCCCGATACATCACGTGATGCCGCTGTGATGACCTGAGTTAGACACCCCTGTTCTAGACGCTGCTTCTTATCCTGGATGTTCTTACACCATCTAGTATCACTGCATTTACAAACTGATTAGTCAACCATTTTTTTCTGAAAACAACATATAAATCAGCTTTCATTGCCTTCATAAATTAAACCAACTACAAATCAGAGAACTCAGGAAAAATTTCATATACTTCAAAACACTTTAATCATATCTCAATTCATTTCATACAGCAATGTAACTTAAATCAAAATATTTATAATTAATTTTCTTCAGATTTATCATTTTTCTACCCCACTGTAAGAACTGTTCATTGACTTGATTACTCCAAAGGAAAATTGAGAGCTTTCTAAGAAATCTTAGTTTGAGATGTAAATAAAATTTAGAATAATTTAGACTCAAGCCAGTTTTGAGGGGAACAGAACATTGAAATTTCCCAATATAATTTATGAGATTTATTTCCAACACCTAACTTTTCAGCCACCATACTGTTCCGTTAAATAATTCCAACAACTTCTTTGTGAATTTTTTAAAATCTGAATTACTAATTCTGAAATTAGCTAAAATCTAGGTGTACCAGCAGGCTGCCAGGACGGGGAATAGCAAAGCAATACAGCACAACATAAAAACCTATATGCTTCCTAACAAGCAGAAGAAGATGGGATAATGTTCTCTAATCTTGGGATAATCATCATTTTGAATTAATTTTCTTACTTAGAAAGCAAACATAGATGAAAAAACAACATTTGGGCGAGCTCAAAGCATCTTTTTGGTACATAGCAAGCCATAGCAAACCCTCCTGAATACAACAGAAAGCCATTTAATTAACCTGGGTTTGACTCCTAGTGGCTGCATAGATAACAGCTCACCTATTGAAGGCAACTAGATTCTTTGGTGAATGTTTTTCTGTGCCACGTATAACACATATTGGAACAAATTTAAATGTTTGGCTTATGTGTTTGGTTTAACTATTCATTCTCTGTAACTGGGAATACTGCAGCTGAGACTAAATGAAATATTAGTTTTGCAACCTGATATTCAGATATTCAATTATGTATTTCCTATAGTGGGAAGGAGAGAGATTACTACCTTCACCTGTTCAATTGGGCATGCTTTAGCTTGACACTGCTAACCAGAGAACCCATCAATAAACAGTGGTACTCTGTAGGGAAACAAAACAAAAAAGAAAAACCTCAGCAAAAAAAATATCTTATTTTGGAATCTCTTCCTCCTACTGCAGGGAAGTAATCTGGGATCTACCATATTTTTCAGAGTATAAGACGCACCGGAGTATAAGATGCACCAAGCTTTTGAAGAGGCAAATAAAAAAAAGTTTTTGCACTCTTGCAAACCTCCCAAAAACAGCCCATTTTTCATGAAAATGGGCCTGTTTTTTTTTCTCAAAAAAAAAAAAAAAAAAAAAAAAGCATGAATAGCCTTTAGGGGGCTTGCAGAGTGCTCCTGGGGAGGGGGAGGGGCAAAAATGAGCAAAAGATGGGCCTGTTTTTTGTAAAAAAGGGGGGGGCATGGATAGCCTTTAGGAAGCTTATCCAGTCCTGAGGGCGGGGGTGATGGTGTAAAATTGAGTAAAAAATGGACCGTTTTTTGCTCATTTCTGCCCTCCCCAGCCCCCCGGAGCTCTCTAAAAGCTTCCTAGAGGCACGGCCATTTTGGTGAAGGGGCGGGGCTTTGGGAGGCAAACAAATGCTGTATTCAGTGTATAAGACGCATCCAGATTTTCAGCCTCTTTTTTGAGGGAACAGGGCGTGTCTTATATTCTGAAAAATACGGTACTTACAAAATTCACAATACTTTTTTGATAGTATGAACACTGATATTAAACTACTCCATAAGAACCCTGATATATTTTGTTTTATCCAAGCTTGCTTCAAATTAAAATGCTAATTCTTTAGGGTGGTGGGGGCTTTTAAAGCATTCTTCTAGAATTTTTTCCTCCATGGCTTTGCCTACTTCTGCATCATAGCTTCAGCTAACTGCTTGTGTGGTTATTTTTAATTAGTTAAGAATAAAAGACTTGCATATGATTCTGGGTTGCTAGGCATTTAAAGGCTCACCTACTAATGTTCCCAATGATAACTCATAGTTTTCAAGAGAGTTCCACTAATCCAATGTACTATATCCATGATTTATTTCTTCCCACTTTGTTAAGCATACTAATTTTAACTACTTCATCATATATTCACTTCACATTGCCAAATTATATGAAGTCAGCCTTTATTTGATCCAAGACTGGTTGACTTGATTTTGTTGTGTTATTCCAGGGAAACATTTCTTACCCAGTTGTGAAAAGCGGAATAATTCATCTTCATTCTCAGTAGTGTGATCCATATTGAGTTGTGTCACTTGCAATCCATCCATAGTAGATTTGCACAAAAGTGCACGATTTGTTCCTGTAGAGAGAGAATGTACAATGCAAAGCCAGAAACTGTAACTGACCACTACCGTCCTATGATCAATAATGTTTTTGTTTCATGCTACAATTCCAAGCTGTTTCACAGAGCTATTTTTTTTTTGTGGTCTTTTGACAAGTCAGAGAAGCATGTTCCTTGGAGAAATATATTGTCATCCAACCAACCAACTCTCATCACTTAATGCTGGACTCAGAAAGTGCCAAGTCGAAAGAGTGCAGAAGAGGAACACACCTACGTTAGCGATATAAAGTTTGTTGTTAGGAATCACTGCCACAATGGCCATGGCTCCTCCAGAGATTTCCTTTTCTACAGACTTCAACCTCTCCAAAATTTTCTGGTACTGAGGAGGCAGCTGGTGATGGGGAACTCCCTAGAAGACAAAGCCATAACTAAGCTTATCAGCAATAAACTTTGGTAATCTTCTATGTAAGAAAAGAATTGCTCTGTTTATATTTTACTTTACCTACGTACATATATATATATATATATATATATATATATATATATATA